TACCATATGAATAAAAGACAGAAATACTATGTCCAAATTGATTGACACCCAGAAAACACATATGACTTCAAACTTTTACCTAGAGTTTAGACATGTCAACGTTTCAGTTGGATTGCAATAAGACAGGAGGCCAAGTGCACTGGGCGGTCTGGTGTGTCTCTGGTCAGGAGGCCAGATAGGATGTTCAGAGACATACTCCAGAGAGTCAGAGCAAAAGCGCATAGTGTGTGGCAGGATGGGTAGGCCATGCTGTACATCACTCATAGCCTAGGTGATGAATTCCTCCTATAGGACTGAATTCTCAGCCCCAAAACAATTGTGTTTCTTCTGCAATCCATTGCTTTCCCTGGGGGGTGAATTGCAACCACTGAAAATTATTTTTGTCTCATTAAAAAGGTGAACATTTTAGATAAATTCAAAGTCACAGAGTTTTTCTCTCACACCATAGGCAGTACAAGGGTTGAAGAGTAAAACAAAAAAATGACATTTTCATTCCTTCCAGGTATGTCTGAAATCTGGGGCTTTATAGACTGTGGAAATAGAAGTGTGGAGGAGAGTGTACAGCCACGTAAATGCAGAGAAGTCTATTTTCTATGTAAGACCTTTCAAGCAGGAGCTAATTATGGAAAGTCCAAATTTCCTTTGCCTTGTTCACCTGAATTCCAGATTTAAAAACTTAAAGTTGTATAGTGTATTTCAGATATACAGGGTGCAGTGTGATATTTTGATGAAATTATGCATAGGAACTGATGAAATCAGATTAATTGACATTTGTGTTTAGAGACACATATCTATTTATTTTCCTAATTTTTAGTTGATTATTTCAGATTCCATGCTATGTATCTTGGTCAATTTCACCCCTAACACACGCACCAAACTTCTCTCCCTTTACCCACAGATTTATCATGTCCTGTTTTATGAAACATAATCTATAGATTGCTATTCATGGTGTCCATATTTTTCTGAGTGTGAGGTCATTCACTAGAGCATGGTTGACCTAACATAAGACATACCCCCTACAAATCTTTCTTTTCTCCAGAAGCCATCAATTGTCCATAGCTCCTCAGTTAGGGAGAGGGTTTTATGAACTTTCCACGCCATGCTGAAATGTTGACAAGGTTCATCTTGTGCAGGCAAACAGGCTTGGGTAGTGGGAGTGACATAAATGTTGCTGAATGCTCCACTGACACTTATTCTCTGTACTTCTTCCATTTGTCAGTTTCTGTATTAATCACTACCATTTGCACAAAGAAACTTCTCTGATGAGATCAAAAAGCTTAATGAATCTCTGGGCAGAAAGATAAAAATTTCCTGGACTTGGTGGTACACACCTTTATTCCTAGCACTTGGGCAGCAGAGACAGGCAGATCTCTATGAGATAGAGGCCAGCCTGATCTACATAAAAGTCCTAGGGCAGCTGGGGCTACAGGAAGACTCTGTCTCAAAAATACCTTCCTAAAAGGAAGATACAAATTTAGAGATCAGTTTGACACTTTGTCCATTTAGCAGAATAATAGTAGTAGATTTAACACTGGGACCTATGAGCTCCCCAAACATGGGTTCTTGGTCATATTTACAGGAGCAGCCATGTGTTCCCATAAGTGGTGTGGGCCTTCAAGCTAATTAAAAAGTAATTAGCTACCCTCATAACACCTGGGCCAATATTTCACCAGCTGTATCTTGCCACCATGGTCTGTATTGAAGTTCTAAGTTTTCACAGGTAGGTAAGACTTGATAATTTTACCCCAGCAGAGAAAGAATTATTATATCCTTTTATTGAGAGATTTTCACACTTGTCTTTTTCCAGGTGATTCCTGAAAGTCACATAGGGAGATATCAAAGTCCTTGTCTGTTTGTAAACATGATTAAGTAGCCTGTATTAGAACTGCCAAGTGGTCATTTTTGAGATGTACAAGAACACATTGTCTGCACACCATGTTTTAATCTGCTCATGGAACTATGTTTAATGGTACATCAAACAACAAAAATTAGAGGTCATCTAACACTCATGCCAGTAAAAATTAGATTGGGAGTCAAAAATGAATGACCATATAGAATAATAAAGACACTAAGGGAAAATACAGATAACTGAAAGGCATCTTCTCCCATTGTTCATATGTGCGCAGATGAATAATTTTTAGTCTTTCTTAACTTGGTTCACCATACACTGTATGGTAATAACAATATCAGTACCAAGCTGAAAGAGTTGTCGAGGGTTCCAAAAAGGGTTGAAGTCCATTATCCAAGCCACTTGGCAGAGTGGAATCTATAAACACAAAATTGAATAAGTGCTCTGCTGAGCAGAAAAAAGTAAAATGATCTGAGATTTGGAAATTTCTTTTGAGTATAAGAATCCAAGCTATTCATTTAAGAAGTAAATCCAGTCAGTAACTGAAAATACATAAAATTAAAAACATTAATCAGAAACTGGAGAGACAGCTGCTCTTACAGACTACCCAGTTCGATTCCCAGAACCCACATGGCATCTAAAAATCCATCCATAACTCTAGTTCCAGGGGATCTGACAACCTCTTTTGACCTTCACACGTATTGAAAAAAATGAGTGCACTTACACACATACAGGCAATACATTCATACAGATAAAATAAAAATAATAAAATATATTTAAAAATTAATCATAGTATTATAGAAATATAATTCTTCAATGAATTTCTATAAATTTCATGAAATATAACTTGTTCATATGTAGACACCTCCCTTACTCTCCTATCTGTACCCCCTTACTTCCCTGCCTGATTTCATATATATATATGTATATAAAATCTCACCATCCTTATTGAAGGCTTAGTTTTACCCAGTGATATTTTCACCACTGATCTCATCCTACATGTTAGAGCTAATTTATTTATTGTCTAGTTTTTTGGTATGATTTGATTCCATCTGCATGTTATAATAGTATCAATTTCATGTGTGATTGAGATAATAACTCTCTGTCCATCTGTCAGTGGGAGAGAGCAAGGAAAAGAGGGAGAGAGACTGAGGATTGGTGTGTTAGAAGTGGATATTTCTCTATATCCTTATGTGTCTCTCAATTATGAATTATTACTATATATTTTCTCTATAATGATATATTCACAGTTAAAAATTTTCTCCTCAAAATGTTTTTTTTTTTGTCCTTTGGCTTTTTTTTCACAGTACTGTGGATCAAACCCAGACCTTTGAGTCTTCAAGGCAAGCACACTAACAGTCACCAGCATCCCCAACACATTTTGTTGATTTGTATAATGCATATAAGAAAATTAAGTATTATGTGCCCTGAGTATATGTAAGTTAATGTTAGAAAATTAGGAAATAGTGTCCTCTCAGTTACTTTAAGAATTGATTATTTTCCAGATAGTTTATCTAGAATTTCAATTTAGGATATATTTTGTAAGATTTTGTTAAAATATAAGTCAAAACCACAAAAATTTGGAATTTTCTGTCTTAACCTCCCACTCTGTAATAACCACTGCAATACATATTGAAAAAGATACATTGAGAAGTTCATAAAGAACAGGCATGTATTAAAGAAAATAAAACTGTTCATGCTTTATAGGAATGATGTAATAGTTGCATCTTACAGAAATATAATGCATTATTACTAAGCAGAATGCTCAGCTTGAGCTCTTCATGTGTCTTTTCCTTCCTTTGTTTCACAGTAGGTAAACAGTAGGGTGACATGACCAACCACACAGTGGACACAGATTTCTTCCTCATGGAAGTCTCTGACAGGAAGCAGCTCCAGGTGCTCCAGGGCTTTCTGTTTCTGCTGATTTACTTGGTGTCACTCATAGGGAACCTTTTCATCATCATGCTTGTCACTGTGGACCAGTGTCTTCACGCCCCCATTTACTTCTTCCTGAAGAACTTGTCCTTCCTTGATGTGTGCTTCATTTCAGTCACAGTCCCAAAGCTCATTCTCAGCTCTTTTTCTCACAGGAGCACTATCTCTTTCCCAGGTTGTGTGTGCCAGGTCTTGTTTGTGGTTTATTTTGTTGTATCTGAAAAGTCCCTCCTCACAGCCATATCCTATGACCGCTATGTGGCCACCTGTCATCCACTACACTATGATGCCATCATGAACAGGGTAGTCTGTGTGCAGATAGTAGCCGCCTCTTGGTTATTTGGAACTCTTCTGAGGGGCTTATATTCACATCGTACCTTCTCTTTATCTTTCTGTGGCTCCAGAAATGTACCAGAGTTCTTCTGTGATGTCCCTTCTCTATTGAAGATTTCTTGTTCAAAGATACACATCATCATTGACATTAGTGTCATCTTTGGAATCACATGTGGATTTTTTTCTTAATGTGCATAATGTCTTCATATGTTTACATTTTCAATACAGTGATGAGAATGCCCTCATCACAAGTGAGGTCAAAAGCCTTTTCTACATGCATACCCCATCTCATAGTTGTCACCACATTTTTAGTCATGGCTGTCACTGCCTATTTGAAACCAGTTCCTGATTCCCCACAGCTTTGGGACTTTTTGATATCTGTTTTCTGTTCTGTGATGCCTCCATCTATGAGTCCTATAATATACAGCCTAAGGAATAAGGAAATCAAAGGAGCTTTATGGAACTTTTTATGGAAACTGGATCATTATATGTTTTATAGGGGAAAGCATTCATAGTACGTAGAAAGGTGAAATGAAACACTTTTTTTTTACTTATTATTCTTATTTCTATGTGTCTGAGTGTATTTTCTGCATGTATGTAAATGCACTGTGTTGAGCAATGCCCAAGAATTTCAGACAAGACCATTTAATTCCCCTGGAACTGGAGTCATGAATAGTTGTTAGCCACCATGTGGGTGCTGGGAACTGAACCCAGGTCCTCTACAAGAGCAGTCAGTGCTCTTTAATGCTGAGCCATATCTCCAGGCCCACATGAAAGATTTCTTATTAACAACTTTGTACTTCTTTATGATATGGAAAGCATTCAATGTCCTCCTCAAGATAAATAATTGATTTAAAACTTCTAGATCCCAACTTTAAAAAATATCAGCCATTTGTCTTTTGTCAGGATGTTATATACATTTCCATAGCTTTTATTCATGGTAGTATTTGGATTTTTACATAGATGGTTTGTTTTAACTACTAAATATGTGCTAAATATTAATCCTCTGGTCAAATTTGCTTGATAAAGATTCTTTCTTACCAAAAAGACAGGAAGCTTGAATAAGGTACTTTGGGTGGGTGGTTCTGCTCCTAGAAGCCATAGCTTCCAAAATCAAAATCCCAGCACCAGTTTAGAATGGCTCCCTATAAGTTGTTGGCTAGAGAGTACCCAGAGGCTCTCCAAACAACACAGACTACTCTCGATGCTCTTTGTCACCCACCAGAACCAGACAATAAGACTCTATTCCTGTAGACATAATACACTTTGGATACAGAACAGGGAGAAATCATGCTGAAAATTACCTGGTAATTTTCTCACTGTTTTCGAGCACCCATAGATCCAGAATGCGCAATGCAAGTGGAGAATTCATCAATGATCTCTTCATAGCTTTGCACCTGGTGTGTTATAATGATCAACTGCCTGGCAAGATATGCCCTGAGGTACAATAGTGAAACAATTGTTTCTGGGGTAACTAACCACTGCCTGACTGGTTCTGAGGCTGCTCCATGAGAAGGAATACTTGCTTGCTACTGTGAACCTGATCAAAAAGCCCAAGACAGGGGAGGTCAGAGGGCCTAGATGGGGACATACTACTGTAAACTGTTTAATGGACATGTTAAGTGTTTTCTAAGTATTTATGTTTAAGCTTATAAACTACTACAGGTCTTAGCCTTGCTCAGAGAACTCTCCTTTGGCAATGGGTGATGATCACAGTTTTAATCCATAACTCGTCAAAATGTTGAGAATAAGTGATTGTTGAATTCATACCTGTAAATGAGACATCTATGCAAACTTTGATCACTGCCTTGGGCTCCTTAAAGTCACCAGCTGCTTCCCACTCAATGTGAAAAAAAGACATCCATGCCTGGGTGGAGCTGGCCTCAACAAAATCTGAGACAAATGGGGGATGCACAATAGACACCACAAAGATCCAAAACATTATAAGGGGGTATTTAAAAACCTATATTCTATTAAATTAGAAAATCTAAAGAAATGGTTGAATTTCTAAATTCATTGGTGCACCATTGAATGAAGAAGGGAGCAACAACTAAAATTTATAACAAAGACATTGAAACAGTAATATAAAGATTTCCAACTAAAATAATTAAAAAAAAACAGGTCCTGAT